CCGTTTCCCCATCTGTAAAGTAGGCATATTGGTAGTATCCCCCACATGAAGTTGTTGACAGGATCAAGTGAGTTAGCTGATTTAGCTAGAATGTTTAGAAGGGTAAATGTTATCAGATTGTTTGCTTATTGTTGCCATGATTATTTCCGAAAGAGGTAGTCCTGTCTAGCACTGAATAGATTGCTACAATCAATCCACATGGCTATCCTCTGATGTGGTTTTTGTCCCAATAGATGGAATCATGGCTCTATGAAGTAGAAGGACTTGCTTAAGGTCACTCAGCTAATAGGTGAGAGGGCAGGTATTCAAATCCAGTCTCATTAACTGGAGAACCCATGCATGTTCTGTGAATACTTTCACTTCTAAGATCCATCAATTCTGTATTCAGACCGGGCCTAATAATGCAAGTTAGAACAAGTATTTGAATAATGAATAAGGTAGCACACTATCACTTGAACATTTTCAGGTGAAGTGTTTTCCTTACGTTCTCCTTATTAGAGCATTGAACGGTGAAGCTGAATAGCATGTGCTGTTTCAGATCAAGCTGCACGACTCTTAGGGCTAGGTTTTGAGACTTTTTTTTCCTACTGCCAGGCATGATATAGACAAGCCATAGACATTTTCTTTCTTATCTCTCTCCCGTGAGTGCCAAGCAAGTGAACCTCAAGTGAGTTTGCAACTCAGACGGAGTGTGTGGCCAGGTGGAACGTGTGATTGAGTGCTGGTGGAGGTGGGAGTGGGAAAGGCGAAAAACATAATTAATTGTTACCAGAGGGAAAGTTGAACTGGGTGGAGGTTTAGAATGAGTCACCTGGATCTTTGACTCAAGTGACTTAATGAGTTTCTGCAACGCCTTCTGATAAAAGTTTGGCCAAGGAGACTTGTATTTCGTCCAGGGTGTAACCACCCCAAGCCTTGATCACTGTTTAGAAGCAGCGACTGCCATTTTGTAAAATGATGATTCAAAGATTGGAAAGTAAAGGGGAAAGGCTCGGTTTAACTGGGTTGCTGTTCTGGGATACCACACGGCACAGGTGGTAGCTGATTAACCTATCGAGAATAAAGAAATATGATTGAGAAATACCAGAGGTGAAACTAGGCTCAAAAAGTGGGACAGAAGAACCAAGAAGGGGAGAAAAACAGATCAAAGCAGGGGAAGCAAGTCTTCTTTAGAAAATCATCCAAACCAAACAACAAACATGGGTGTTGGCAATAATGGAGTTGCCTTTCTTTGAAAACAACGGGTTCAACAAATATTTGTGAGTTCCTGAGGAGGTGTTTTAAGTCACTGTGCCTCTTGCTGCATTTGTAACCACCTACTTAGTATACTGAGCTTGGTAGATAAACCCTGCTATTCATTTTTAAGCTTCTTTTAAAAACATCTCATTCCATTTGTTACATGTCCACAGGAGAAAAATGAGATGTTCCTACCTGCTAAAGTTGCTTTTCTAAAGTCAAACAATTGTGTTAAGCCTTTTCTTATGAACTCTAATGGTTTGTGATTGCAAAAAGAGTTCAGACATAGTAGCCTGATGTACAAGTTTTTTTTTTTGTTTTGTTTTGTTTTTTGTTTTTTTTTCCAGCCAGCATTTTGCTCTTCTTGCCCAGGCTGGAGAATAATGTTATGATCTCGGCTCACTGCAACCTCTGCCTCCTGGGCTGTTCAAGTGATTCTCTTGCATCAGCCTCCCCAGTAGCTGGGATTACAGGTGTGCACCATCATGCCCAGCTAATTTTTGTATTTTTAGTAAAGACGGAGTTTCACCATGTTGGCCAGGCTGGTCTCGAACTCCTGACCTCAGGTGATCCGCCTGCCTCAGCCTCACAAAGTGCTAGGATTACAGGCGTGAGCCACCGTGCCCTGTCTATACAGGCTTTTACTACCTGGAGCTGCCTAGTGTTTTCACTTTGCATCTGTTGCTTCCTCCTGGGACTACAATACTCTAACTGCTTTGGATTAGGTGACCTTCCTAGGTCATGAGAGTCCTTAGCTTTTTGGCCTCTGTTGCACAGAATCTTCTTCTGCCTGGAATCCAAGTCCTCATTTTTCTGCACCTGGGAAACTTCTATTTTCCTTCAAGAGGCAGATTCTGCCACTTCAGAAAGATTGTGTTTTGGTTGTCTATCTTCCTATGCCCATTTAGGAATTTCTGAAAAACAGATACATATTTGTTACAATACAGTATGCATATATCAAAATTTATTTAACCTTTTCCGTAATATTTAGGGAGTTGCCACTTTTTTTCTCTCCTATAAACATAACACAATAATTGTTCTCGCCCATAGATCCCTCTGATTTTTGCCGATGCTTTTCTAGGACAAATTTTTTTTTGAAATGGTAAGAATAAAGAGTTTTAATACTTTCCTGCCCTCAGTACACATGCCATGTTGTTTTCTATACAAGTTTATCTGTTTCAGTGTTGGATCTGTCTCCACCCTGGGTCTCATTCTCAATCAAAAAAAAAAAAAAAAAAGAAAGAAAGCAAAAGAAAAATTTTGCTTATTTTGTAAACAAAAGTGCTGTTTATATTTAATATAGATTTTTCTGATTAGTACTTAGGCTAAAGTTATCTTTCTGTTACTTATGAGTATCCGTATTTCTTCTTCTATGATTTGGCTTTTCTGGCCATTTGCCCATTTAGTTTTCTTTTTTAGAGCTGGGGTCCCGCTCTGTTGCCCAGGTTGGAGTGCAGTGGTATAATCATAGCTCACTGTGGCCTTGAACTCCTGGGCTCAAGCAATCCTCTCACACCAGTCTCCTGAGTATCTGGGACTACAGACATGCACCACCAGCTAATTCTTTTATTTTTATTTATTTTTTTATAGAGGCAAGGTCTTCGTTTGTTGCCTAGGCAGGCCTTGAACTCCTGTCCTCAAGTGATTCTCTTGCCTTGGCCTCCCAATGTGCTGGCATTACAGGCATGAACCACTGTACCCAGCCACACTGTTACCATATTTCATTGTACATTGTGTAATACTCTATTGCAGGCTGGGCACAGTGGCTCAAGCCTGTAATCCCAGCACTTTGGGAGACCAAGGTGGGTGGATCACCTGAAGTCGGGAGTTCGAGACCAACCTGACCAATATGGTGAAACTCTGTCTCTACTAAAAATACAAAAATTAGCCAGGTGTGGTGGTGGGCGCCTGTGGTCCCTCCCAGCTGCTCAGGGGGCTGAGATAGGAGAATCGCTTGAACCTGGGAGGCAGAGGTTGCAGTGAGCCGAGATTAAGCCATTGTACTCCAGCCTGGATGACAGAGTGAGATTTCCTCTAAAACAAACAAACAAACAAACAAACAAACAAAAAAACAAACTCCGTTGTAGCACTTGAAAAAAATAAAAGAAACAAAATCTGTTGAGCTCTTATCATATTCCATATGCGTTGCACTGATTATCTCTCCTAATAATACCACGAAGCAGGCACTATTATACCCATTTTAAAGATGAACAAGTTGATGCACAGAGAGGTTAAATAATTATGTAGAGTCACATAGTCAGTAACGGATAGGAAAGGGGTACAAATTCCAGCAGCCTGATCTGAGAATCTTCACTCTCAGCAGATACCCTCAACCATTTCACTTCTCCCTTTTTAACATCAGGTTTGTTGAAATATCACTCTTATTTAGTAAAATCCATCCTTTTAAGGTGTACAGCTCTATGCATTTTGACATCATACCATAATCAAGATACAGTCACACAATCACCCACTCCTAGTCAGCTCTCTTCCCTTTTCCCAGTCCCTGGCAATTGCTCCTGTGTTTTTTGTTAATATAGTTTTGCCTTTCCCAGAATGTTATATAAGTGGCATTGTGCTGATTGTGCTATATATGGTTTTTGAGTCTTCGTTCTTTTACCTAGCCTCATGCTTCTGAAGTTCTTATCTGATGTTGCACGTGTCAGTAGCTCATTCGTTTTTATTGCTATGTAGTATTTCATTGTGATGGATGTAACTTAATTTTTGTGGTGGTTTTCCTTTTATGTTTGTATCCCTCATTTATACTATGTGCCCTTTGAGGGTACCAGTGATGCCCTGGTCATCTTTAGGATCTTGACACAGCACTTCATGCTCAGTTGTGGTCTGTCGATTTCCGTCATAGAAATGAAGTAGTAAGGGACCATGACAAACAATATACACACTCATTAATAGTAAAATAAATGAAAGTTATTCAAATTTTAGATATCCATAGATGCCAATTAACCTAGCAAAGCAATAGACAATTTTTTAAAAAAAATCACTGAATGCTAGGATCCAGGGGACATACATTCATAGATGACTGCCATTGGTGGAATTTATAAATTGGTTTAATTTTGCTAGACACAAACCTGCAATGATGTAAAAGGAGATAGACACTCTTCTAGGCCTAGATCCATTCATTCAATTACTAGGCAGGTATGCAAAAGAGAAATCTGAGTAAAGATATATATAGCAGAACGATTTGTAAAGTCTCGCATTTTAAGCAATTCAAATACTCCCAAATTAGGAAATATGGAAGCTAACTACATATTCCAGCATAAATGGATACTATGTGGATTAAAAATGAGAATAACATGACTGATGTAACATGCAAATATATGAAAATAAGAAATTAGGATTGGTAAGTTTCTATTCATTTTTAAAATTTGTAAAATATATCTTGAAGAGTCATTACCCCAAATTACAAACACACACACACACACACACACACACACACACACACACACACACAGAGTATTTTTACTAAAGTAAGATAAAAAGAAATCTGTCTGTGGCAGGTTAGTTACTCAATCAAATGGTAATTCTGATGCTATGTAGATAGTGGTGCTGGAACAGAAGAATATCTAAAACATAGAGCACACCGTCTGATATTGTGGCCGAGGCATGACTATCTGTATATAATTAAAATTAAATGGAATCAACTTTACAGGTTTTTCAGGCCACTCTCCTTATCTGTTTACTCCCTCTTTTCTCATATATAGGTTTCCCTCAATTGCTAGACATTTGGTGTGGAATTGCCTAGGTGAATTAATTAAATTGTTTTTATTCAGAATGAACAAAGAGTTTAATACGGATAGATGCAGTTTATTTTCTTTGAAAGTTTCATACTTGGCTGAATATTCACTTTCTGTTTGGTTCCAGGTCTTCCCCGTTTTTGGAAGACTGTGCTAGTTTGGTGAGTATTTGACAATTCAAGTTTCTTCTACATAGAAGGCATCAGAATGACATTTCCTAGGAAAATTCATGCTGCGGGCACAGGCTGTGTGACAGTGAAAAGACAATATTGGGTGCTCTGGCTCCATCCTTTCGGTCCCCTTTCAGAACATGTTTTAAACCTATTAAAGACATTTTTCTTTATCGTGAAAGTTAATTTTGACTCTCACAGATCGACAGATCAGTCATTTGTTTTGGTGATGAGCACTTTTGCAATATTTCTTGTGTAGAGCTAGCGAGAACCTGATAGTACTTCGCCTAACAGTTGAGAAGACTGAAGTGTTGAAAACAACTTGTCGAATATAAAAGCAAGAGCCCTAGATCTTCGAGAAAGCACATCTTTGCTCTTACAGTCAAGGCTGGCTCTCAGTAGGGCATATCTACCCTGCTTTCTGGCCCTGTCCATGAGCACTCTGGATCTCTGCAACAGGGCAACGTAATGAACCAGCCGTTGGTGTTACCTGAGAGTGAAGAGAGAAAGACACATAATGAACCATGAATCACAGGAGCTCGGGATGTGAACACTGAAAGGGAGGATGGCTGATTCTAATGAGCCTTGAATAAGCACCATATGACTGCTATGAAGGTAGGAGATCAGGGGTAACTGAAGATTACCCCTGATTGCTTACCCATGCAGTTTACCATTGATGTTAGGATACACTACATACCCAGACCTGAACCTCACAATCTTCTTCTATAGCATTCCAAAAAGTGCTTCATGAGATGCATTCAATGAATACATTCAAAGGTGAGGCAGAATAAGGGCTGACTGGAGCAGACTTCATTAGGAAGATTTCCTGAAATAAACATGATTCATGAATTTTTTTTTTTTTTTTTTTTGAGGTGGAGTCCTCCTCTGTCACCCAGGCTGGAGTACAGTGGTGTGATCTTAGCTCGCTGCAACCTCTGTCTCCTGGGTTCCAGCAATTCTTGTGCCTCAGCCTCCCTAGTAGCTGGCATTACAGGCGCCTGCCACCATGCCTATTTTTTTTTTTTTTTTTTTGTATTTTTAGTAGAGGCGGGGTTTCACCATGTTGGCCAGGCTAGTCTTGAACTCTTGACCCCGGGTGATCTGCCTGCCTCGGCTTCCCAAAGTACTGAGATTACGGGAGTGAGCCACCAGGCCTGGCAGTGATTCATGAAATCTAACAGAACAGAAGAGGTAGAATATTTGGGGATAAAGGGAAATATGCAAGAGGAAGGGAGAGTACATTTTCTTTCTTATTTATTGAGAGTATATCATGCACCTAACCCTGGAGACGGTGTTTAGGGATCAAGAGTAACTGAGGTAAGTTGGTGAAAGGAATGGTCCTGTCGTGAAGGAGGTTTCAATCTTACGGGGTGCCTAGGCAAGTTGAAGTCAATTATAAGAGTGGGAGAATGTTCATTTGAGCAATTGTAGGGCACTAACCAGTTGATTATTGGATGTGAGTTAATAGAAAAATCTTCTAGGAGACATTGGCAACTAAGTTAAGGCTTAAAGGAAGGGAAGAGATAACCTGGGTACCAGGGGCTCTGGCTGCCATGTGGAAAAGTTTGGATGTACATTTCATCTTACATCCCCCTTACAGAGGGAAATGGGGACGCAGTGAAAGATCCTAAGCCAGGAATTGATAGGATTAAGTTTGCATCTTAAAGGCGTTACTCTGGTTACAGAAGAGACAATGGATTGGAGAGAGACAAACTGAAGGTATGGATAGTTTGAAGACTGTTGCGGTCATCTAAGCAATCAACGAGCCAAGCCATTGTCCCGATGGAGATACAGGAGTGTGTGCGAATTAATGAGATGGACAGGAGACAGAATCGCAGCAGTGCATAAGGCTTGTAAAAGAGTGAGGCAAGACTAACTCCTAGGTTTCGGGTTTTGGCCATGGGATAGATGACGCTGCGTGTCCTGAGCTGGACAACACAGGAAGACTTGTGGGTTTCAGAACAGGAGGGGTAAGACAGGAAGAGGCAAGAAGCTTAGCTTTTCTTTTCTTTTCTTGTTTAGTTTTTCTTTTCCTTGTTTTTTTGGAGACAGGGTCCTGCTCTGTCACCCAGGCCTGAACATGTTCACTACAGCCTTGACCTCCCCAGCTCAAGTGATCCTCCTGTCTCAGCCTCCCAAGTAGCTGGGACTACAGGTGCTTACCACCATGCCTGGCTAAATTTTGTATTTTTTGTAGAGATAGGGTTTCACCATGTTGCCCAGGTTGATCTTGAACTTCTGACCTCAAGCAGTCTGCTTGCCTTAGCCCCTTGATTTTCTTAAATTCAAGATTCTTGTGAGATATTCATGTGGAGACGTCTTACAGGAAGTTAGTAATGATGGAATGGCAAAGAGCTGAGCTTATGAGAAAGGGACGTGGATTTGAGGGTGATGAGAAGGGTCGGAAAAGACTTTGAAGAGATATGGAACCAAATGATGGATTCAGGAATGTAATTTATGCTAATGTAGAGTTCTTGGAATTATAGAGAGGAGAGGTTGATATTATCAGTGTCTGCTTATATTAATCCCTAAGAATCAGAACTTTAATGAGGCTTAAAGAAAAATTTAGGAGGAAGCAGTGGTGCTAATTAGACTCAAAGCTACAAACTGGAACAGGAAAGACATCTCATATTGTTGCTGTCAGTAATTTTACTTAAGCCATTTGCTTCTAGATAACATCAAACTTCCACCTGTAAGGTGAGGATAGCAGCCTGACCCACAGCACCGTTTAAAATTGATCATAACATACCTTAAAATGATCACCAGTCTTGATCATTTCAGGAGTTCCTCACTGCATTTGATATGGGATTTCTAAAAATAGTGTTTCATTTGCCCAACTAGGACCATTCATATTTGTAAGGTACTTGACATTGTATAAACACCTTCAAAGACATTACATCATTGGATTCTCTCAGTAATCTAGTGAAATAGGCAAGAGAGTCATCATTATTCTTTCAATTTTACAGATGAGAAAACTGGGGCTGTAAGAGGTGAAATGACTTGTCCAAGATAAGTCACCATCTAGTAAGTGGCAGATCTGGAAATATATCTAGTTAAGGCATCTGGACTACAAATATGATTACAGTTTTTACCATTATTCCATAACAGTCCATCACTTAGTCTTTGGATTCAGATTAAATGATTTAACTAGATCAGCTGGACTATTCAGATTAGCATATGTATGAGACAATCAGCCACACGCAAGCCATTGGGTAAGGTATTGGAGAGACACAATGACAAGTACAAGACATCTTTGGGAACTGAAAATCTCCTTGAGGCACATAAAAGTGTCTGATCAATTGCAAATAGTAATAGAGACATAAAATGATAGCAATAATCCAAGACATCTTAAAATGTTGGAGATGGACCATCAGTACTCTATAGATTCAGAGAGAAAGTCATTTGCACAAACTTCGTGGAGGAAGCATGACTTGAATTTAGCCTAGGAGATAATCAGAGAGAAAAATGAAAGCAGCTAAGGCCAGGACACACAGGGCACAATGGCAATGAGAAGGGACAGTCAAGATTGCTTGACAGGGAGTAGAACCGGTTGGTTGGAACAGATGTTTTACGCAAAGATGTTATGTTGAAAATTCTGTAGAGGTAAAGTGGGCTGTTGTTAAAGAGCTTTGAAATATTAATCTAAGAGGGTTAGTAAAGTTTTTTTTTTTAACCTGCGTTGTTTTATCAGATTCTTTTTTTTTTTTTTTGAGACAGAGTCTTGCTTTGTTGCCCAGGCTGGAGTGCAGTGGCATGATCTCAGCTCACTGCAACCTCTGCCTCCCAGGCTCAAGCGATTCTCATGCCTCAGCCTCCAGAGTAGCTAGGGTTACAAGTGGGCACCACCACACTCGGCTAGTTTTTTTATTTTTCAGTAGAGATGAGGTTTCATCAGATTGGCCAGGCTGGTCTCGAAATCCTGACCTCAACCGATCTGCCCGCCTTGGCCTCCCAAAGTGCTGGGGGTTACAGGCGTAAGCCACCATGCTTTGCCAAGATTAGTTTTTAAAAAATCACATGGTTAATTCAGTGGAAGATTTCTGAAACTTCATGTACTGATTGATTCATTTGTTAAAAATTAATCTCATTTTGTTGTTCAGTTTCCTAACCACAATGAGGGAAAATCTTCCGTCCCCCTCTGTTAGAAATCAACTGCATTTAAGTAATAAAAGTTAAACATAGAATTGATGTGCTATTTTCTACTAAATTGCTGAGGTTTTCAAAAAGCAACCTGCTGAGGATCTTTGGAGAATGTTTCATCTGCTAATGGAGAACCTCTCTTCTTTGGGGACTTTCCTGAGAATTTCCTTGAGGTTAGCTCTCATTGCATTCAATGGATCAAGTACTAACACATTGAAAAAGACAACTTTTTCCAACAAGGGAAAGCAAATGTCAAAAACTGACAAAAGAAGTCAGAAAATGTGGCAGTTCTTTGGCTTACAGTTAGAGAAGATGATGGCATCCGACATTTTAAGCCACCTGTTTAAAGCACACACACATCCCAGTACTTAAGGAAGCTAAAGCTGAGGCTACTTTAAATCTTATCAAAACCACTATCAGAAAAAGATGACAAAAAATACTGTATGTTTACTGATAGCTCTAGTCACCATTCATGTCTGACAAATTATATAGCCAGTAGACAACTTTGGGTTATCTCCTGGAGATATCAGTGATGTTACCACATTGGCGATGGCTTAGCCTGAACAGTGAGAAGAGGCTAAAGGCTTCTGTACCGACGTCTGATTATGTAATATTCGACGTGTGCCAAAAACTTCTAATCAGGATAAATGAGTTCTGAGCAGTGAAAAGAAAAATGCATTACCTGTGCTAGCATAGATCCTGAGACGCTTATCAGGAAACACATTTCATGGTCTCAAAAGAGCTCTGTGGTTCTTCTTGGAAAGGCGAGTACTTTCCAACTAGACAAAGGTTTCACTATTACTTGGTGCAACTGAGTCAGGCACTGTTTTGAAAGTAAACTGAGTAAAAGTAACATTCATTTATACAAATTGCAAATCCTTCTGATTCCACGGAAGAGCTAATTTCCACATTCAGAACACATGTGAATTCTTTGGCAGGATACACTTCATTCTACTCCAGCATGAAGTTAAATTAAATCATCCAGAGTAACCAATCTGGGGAACTGTCTTTTTAAAACACTATTTTTTTCTTCTTCTTCTAACAGATCTGGGTCCTATAATACAGTTAATATAAAGATTTCGACTTGAACTACATAAACAATCTTTCAACCACAATGGACCAACAGTAATTCTGAGTGAAGAGATTTATTTCTTGATATATATATTTTTATTATTATTGTACTTTAAGTTCTAGGGTACATGTGCACAATGCGCAGGTTTGTTACATACGTATACATGTGCCATGTTGGTGTGCTGCACCCATTAACTCGTCATTTACATTCGGTATATCTCCTAATGCTATCCCTCCCCCTTTCCCCCACCCCACAACAGGCCCCAGTGTGTGATGTTC